AAAAGCTGGACAATAACCAGCAGCTCAGGAGGCCGGCTGACCGCTAGCCAGGCTCTTCACACGGGGAAACTGTCTACGATGCCGGCAAGCTCCCGGGTCCAGACTGGAGCCACCCCTCAACTCTGACTCCCTAAAGCAACCAAAATGTAATGTGAACCGCATGTCATTTAAAGCTTTCTAGTAGCTTCAATTTAAAAAGTAGAATGAAACAAGTGAAATTAGTTTTAATAACATGTTTTTCATTTAAGTAGTATTTAACCTAATATATCCAAATACTTCACACTTCAATAACTTTACATGTAGACATTACAGTTCTACAGCATGGATTTTAAGCAAACCACAATATTTAGGAATAAAATCAGATTCTTTTGATTCTCTCCTTACATCTACTGTGATAAAGCAAGAGATAACCCTGTAACGATGTTCATTCATATGTATTTAGATGGTCTTCTAAATCTTCCAGGGGGAGCTAATCTGTTAAGTATTTCCTTCGAGAAGACACACTTGTCTTGCTCCTTGACTTTTACTTTTCCCTCTGATTCTCTCCCAATATCTTGAGTTCAAAGTCTAATTCCAATTTTATATTCAAAAGCCCCTGATCAGTCACTTCTCTTCAAATGTACCTCTGCATCCAGAGAATTAACCTTATTTTAGATAGGTTGGGCACAAACAAAAAGCTAGGATTGCGGCCCAGGGTTCTTTGAAGAGTAAATATGGCACGGTTGGAACAGTTCGGTCCTGGTCAGCCCTACCCGTCGCTGTTTTCAGCAGCAGCAGTGATACCAACACCAGACTAATTTATCGCACATTATCTCTCGGCAAGAACTTGGATAATGTGTTACATGCTGTTTCACTTGATTTTTATTAAAACCCTGGGATAAAACTATTGCCCCTTTGCTCCTATATTACAAATAGAAGAGGCAGAATCAGTTTGTCCAGGATTGCACATCTACTAAGTAGAACTGGGATTTTAAAAAGGGATGTGTGTGTGCACATGCCTGTGTGGTACTGGGAACGAAACCCAGGCTCTTCATACAGTGCTGTACTCCTGGCGCGTTTTTTGTTTGTTTGTTTCTTTTGGGTTTTTTTGAGAAAGTGTATCCAGAGCTAAAATGTTCAGACTGGGCTGGAACTTGGGATCCTCCTGTCTCATTATTCCAGAGTACTAGAATTATAGCCATGTGCCACCACATGGCTGTTTTCTTGATTCATTTCTGTCTACAACCACAAACACAGAGGATTCACAATAGACCACTTACATCGCTGAATGGTGAGGATAAGAAAGTAGCTAGCAAATAAAACTTTAAGATCTTTCAAAAAGTTTGCTTGATGTAATGGAAGTTTTCCATTAAGGCATTCTCTCCCACACCAGAAGAAAAGGAACTTCAGCTGAGGCAGTGGTACACACCTGTAATTCCAGTTATTTGAGAGGTTGAGGCAGAACGATTTCAATTATGAGGACCATCTGGATAACTTAGTAAGAAGCCATCACAAAATAAAAAGGACTGGAAATGTAGCTCAGTGGTAGAGCGTTTGCTTATGAAACAAAAGACCACGGGTTCAATCCCTAGGACTACACACAAAAAAGGAACTTCACTGTGAAGTACTGATTTGTAGTTTCTGCTCATCAGTTTTCCTGAACTTCACAGTAATCATTAAAAACCAATTTACAAATGTAGTGCTATCACAGTAGTCATTAAGAAGCGACGCACCCAACTACTATACTAAAATTAGGGAAGATTCAAAAATTTTAGTCTAACAGCAAATTTTTTATTGTTAACAAAACAGTGGAATGAAATTTTAAGAATAGTTTTAAAATATTAAATCCCTTTATTCTCTTTGGAAGTAGCATTCTTACAACGTATGTGCACAGCAAATGGTAAAGTTCATTTCCATAGATTGTCCCTGCTCAACTTCATTTTGATAAATTAATATGCTGAACTACTTTGACTTGAAAGCGTGCTCTGGTTTTAATTTTAAGATATTTACTTACTTATTTATGTTTTTGTGAGACAGGATCTTGCTATGTAGTTCAGGCCGGCCTTGAACTTGCTATGTAACCCATGTTGGCCTCAAACTTCCTGCCTCAGCTTCCCAAATGCTGGGATTACAGGCATGTGCCACCACACCCAGAATGCTCCAGTTTTTAATGCTCTTAACTGATGTAAATTATAGTTCACTTCCTCTGGGTCAATTTTAGCTATATACCTCAACCCCTAATGATGCCCTGAGAAAGATATTATAATCACATTTAAACATATTGTTTTGCCATGCTTATATATACTAATTTCTATTAGTCTACAGATATGCACCTGAAAATTATAACTACATAGATTTTACAATCTTTTTCTGTTTATCAATTAGAGGCAGATTATGAAGGGATCAAGCACAAGTCATTACTAAGAGGAAGACCATTGCATTTTAAAGTTATTTAATTATTCAAATAAGGGTTTGTTTGATTTTGTTTGGTTTGGTTCTGAGACAGAGTCTCACTATGTAGTGCAAGCTGGCCTGGAATTCACTATGTAACCCAGGCTGACCTCAAACTCATAGTGATCCTCCTTCCTCAGCCTCCTGAGGGCTGGGAATACAGACATGTGCCACATACCCAGCAAATAAGCATTTTTCCAGTCTCAAGCAATGAAGTCTTCTTACAGTTGTAATGAAGATGTTGTTTTGCTATATTACAGGTAAGAGAAGCATGGCTTTTTAAAAAATAAATCTATTGGGGCTGGGGATTTAGCTCAGCGGCATAAGCGCCTGCCTTGCAAGCAGGCAGTCGTGAGTTCGATCCCTGGTACCGATAAAAATAAGAAAGACAAAAAAAAAAAATTTAATCTATTTACTTTTAAGATAGAAGAGACTGAACACAGGGTCCTGGTACTAAGCTACATCCCCAGCGCCTTTCTAAAATTTTTTATTTTGAGACAGGATTTCGCTTGGTCACTAAAGTCTTGTCCGCCTGCCTGAGCCTCATAGACTGTTCAGACTACAGAGAGGTTAAAAAAATTCAATACAAATGTTTTATGTGGTTAAAAACTGTTACATCACAATTTAAAGGCAAGAAAAACTCAACTGTAACAAAATTTGTTTTCTTTGAAATAGTTTTTACAATTTGGACCCAGGAATGACTGTTACTTGGTAGAACAGTTTATTACAAAAACTATTAGGCCAAACAAAGATATGTTTCTACTACTAAAATAATTACAATTAAAACTGAGCAAAAATCCAACTGAAATCACAAAGCCTGGTAGTCTGAGGCTCTGGGATGCAATTCAAAGTTAGTAGTCTCTGACAGCAGTGACAACAAAATCAAGATGATCTTGGGCAGTGGGAGAAGAGCAGAGCTGAAGAGAAGAGATGAGGTGGTATATGGTGTGTCATGAAGTCATGAGGCCATCGGCCACTTTCTCCACAAAAATCTCTGAAGCAGCAGAGCTCGGTGGTACATACTACCTTGATTCTCTCCTCTTGTTCCCTTACTTGGATTCATAAACCTCTTTAAGACATCATCCACCTCCTCCAGAACTAACTGGGGCTTCAGGAGATGAGTAGGGTGTGAATTCAGAGATCCTGGCTTCAAGCAAATACCCCTATTAACAGAAAATAGGTGGGGTAGGGGGGGACAAGGAAATAAAGGAAGAAGATTATTTTTAAACACAAAGTTTGCGGGGAAAATAGGGGAGGGAAAGAGGAATGACAACTTAGGTCCAGGAAAAATCACTGCTGGCATCAAGGATTTCACTAACAAGGTGAGAAAGTCAGCAGATAAATAAGCATCCTCTTTCTCCACTTTATGTCCGAAATGGGGTTAAGTCCAGAGCTTAATGACAAAACTAAACCAAAAAGTAAAAATCTTCTGTGTAACTACCTACTGAAAATAAAGCGGTACTTGGAGAAAGACATACCATGAAACGATACCTTATAATGTAAGTCACAAATATCTTACTTTAGACATCTGCTCATTCACTTAAGCAATTTTTTTTTGAGCCTTTACTAAATAAATGCCAAGGAAATCAGACATGGCTCCTGCCTTATCATGATTGACAATCTAGCATGGAAGGTAATATTGCTAAAATAAATAAATAAACTAAGCCAAACCAAAGAAAATAGCTCCAGAGAGGAGGCGTAGAATTTTAAAAGTGAGCAAGATTATCCTATAACAAGTTCTAGAAAAAAACTGAGTTATAAACCTCTAAGAGTGAGAAACAAGAAATATGGGTATAGGTATGAAAAATATTGGTAATATTAGCTAGCACACAAGAAAGGGCTCTATATGTGTCATAGCATTTAATTTTCACAACTCTGAGAGCAGTACATTACATTTCTCTCCATTTCACCTAGCAGGAAAGTTGAGAGGTTAAGACATTTGCCTTGGCGACACAATTTCTTTTCTTTTCTTTTCTTTTTCTTTTTTTTTTTTTTTTTTTTTTTTTTTTGTCTTTTTCCTTTTTATCGGTACCAGGGATCGAACTCACGACTGCCTGCTTGCAAGGCAGGTGCTTATGCCGCTGAGCTAAATCCCCAGCCCCGGCGACACAATTTCTAAGTGACAGCGTTGGAATTTGAATCCAGGTATCCTGGCTCTTAATTCTATTTTGTAGTATACAGTACTAGTCTTATAATAACATCACAACGCTGTTGTACACTGTGGATCTACGATCTTGGTATTTTCATTCATTTTCTTTGCATATTCACATGTTATGGTACAAGAGAAGAAATAAGACTGTGAGAAATGTTTCCAAGACTATACAAGTTACAAGGCGATGGACTCGGAATTCAAAAGGCTGGAACTCCGAAGGTTCTTTGCATTGCATCCATAAGCCGGCTTCAAGTTTCTCCTACCCTGAACCACGTCAAGTTAAGCCTCGCCCCTCGCAGCCATCAGCCGCGCCCACGACAGTCTTGAGACTGAGAGTCACCCGTAGCCCCGAGCTCTCCCACAGCCCCAGCCTCGCGGCTCCCCAGAACGCCCCCGCCCGGCAGAGCTAGGTTCTCACCAGGTGGGAGTCGAGGGACCCTCGAAATTTTGCTAGTGATCTCTGCAGTGAGCACGGCGAAGTCCTGCTCATAGCCTTCAAAGTCCGACGACATGGCAGCACTGGCGTAATCGGCCTTGGCTGCAGCCTTCGGTAGGAAGAAGGGATCGCAGTAGGGACTCAGGCAGGCACGTTTAAAAATCCGAGAACAGAATCGGAGACAGCTCCTGGCCCAGCCGCTTCCTGGTTGTTCGCTGCAATCTCTTGTCCGCCGGAAACTGGGCTAGGTACGCCTTTTATTTTCCGCTTAGGCTTCAACATTCGCTAGGGAAAAGCATTCCAGTTAACGCTTCCCCCACCGCAAAAAAAAAAAAAAAAAAGCCTAGAGAGATATGCGTGGTCTCAGAGGTCACTTACTCGTACTCGCCTCTAAGTTCTGGGAAATGACTTGACTCACCCAACCGACATGTCACAAGCGACTGCTTCCTGGGGGGAAGCTTGACTCGGCGAACCTACCGGAAGTGGATGTGGCGGAGGCTGAGCAGGAAGCCTCCGGAGAGGAGCGGCTAGGGGGCTGGCGGAGACTTGCGGATCAAGGCAGGTCCTGCACTTTAGCCTGTGACGACCAGGATTTGCTTCCTGCTTGTTCTTGACTGAGCTGCCCATGATGGACTTATCCAAGAAGGAGAAAATCTGTTCCGGGTGAGGCCAGGCCGTCCCCAAAATGCCTTGGCTGAGGAGCGGACACTAAGGACCAGACTGAGGTGGGAGTCAAGCAGGAAAAGCAATCACGATTTGGGCGGCCTTCGTCCCAAAATCGAATCTCCTAAACGTTGAAACCAGCCTCACTTACTGGAACGTTTCAACCTTGAGTGAAGGTTTCTGAGCACTCTGCTCCATGACGCGGGCGGGAAACGGAGGCACAAAACGATGGCATCTGTTTTTTACGTGCATATCTCAGCGTCTCTTCCCCCAGCTCACTCCAGATCGGTCAGAAATACCTTTCTACAAATGTCCTGCCCTTCCCCTCCCTCGCTCCCGAAGGCAATTATTTTTTTTTCTTCAAATCTCACAGACTTTCACTCATATACTATGTCAGTCATGATTTTACGCACACACACACACCCTCTCTCCTCTCTTTACCTTGAAATCTCTTGTTTACACAGTTTTACCTTTGGCCACCGTAGACTGGGTAGTGGTGTCTTGGGAAAGCTATCCGTAAATGGCATAGACTCTGTCTGGTTTACCTTTAATTCAAAACCCTTTTATACGAGGCGGTTCAGACCGCCGTAAATATGACCTTGATCTAAGCACTTAGCCTCTTTAAACTAATTTCTGTTCTATTAAGAAGGAAGTTAGATTAGATCAGCTCTAAGGCCCTGTTTCCCAGCTCTAAATTCTTTTTTTTTAATCGGTACCAGGAATGGAACTCAAGACTGCGCGCTTGCAAGGCAGGCGCTTATGCCGCTGAGCTAAATCCCCAGCCCAATCAGCTGTAAATTCTTTGTGATCTTTAACCATTCACTAAAAATTGGACATTAACACTTCCTTGATAAGTTGAGAGCAAAGAAAGATTATTTTAGATAGTGCCCAGGTTACATGCCATTCAAAATGGAACTGTATTTTATATAAGTCAGAAGTAATTCTTTTTTTATTAATACTCAACCCTTAATGGCATGCTTCGGAGATGCTCTTAGGTGCTTCTTAGAGTTAACAAATAAAAATTTTCTACTGAACTATCTCTTTTGTTTTCTTTAGGTTGAGTTTCAAACCAAGATACTGGATTCTCCTGATTAAAATAACAAGCTGTGAGTGAATAGTGAAAATGGCATAATCTTCATAACTCAAAGGCATGACAATCAGGGAACACATGTGGACTTGTGGCACATGCAAATGTGTACACAGAAAAAGGAAATCTATAATCCTGTAGAAGTAGGAAGGCATTCTTTCTCCCCAAAATGAATGCATTGTGCTCAGTTATCAAGTTTGAAAATCTCCAAGAATTAAAGAGACTGTGTCACTGGGGGCCCATCATAGCCCTTGGGGTTATAGCAACATGTTCCACAGTGGCCATGATTGACTCTGTGTTATGGTATTGGCCCCTACACACAACTGGAGGAAGTGTGAACTTCATCATGTTGATAAACTGGACCGTTATGATTCTTTATAATTATTTCAATGCCATGTTTGTTGGTCCTGGCTTTGTTCCTCTGGGGTGGAAACCGGTAAGCAAAAAATTTCCCTTTTAACAGTGAACTCAAATAATTGTGTACAGTATTTAGTTTTTGTCTTGTATGCCAACCAGTAGTATTAGCCTATTTTTTTGTCATGGTGCCATCTAATTGCATGACTGTAATCACTAGGCTCAGAGAACTTATTGCATGTCTGTTTGAAAATACTGACCTAAATTAGCTTGATCTAAAGCAGTTTTGCTGAGTATTTGTCCTGCATTAAAAAAAAAATTCAGTTGAAGGGAGGAGTTCATAATGGTAAGGAAAACCCCAGCTACACTGGTAGAACCACAGCGCACTTTGGCTGTATACAGCAGTATGTTCGACAGATTGATTGACTCTGTTATGGTATTAGCCCCTACATATCACTGGAGGAAGCGTAAATGTCGTCATGTTGATAAACTGGACCATTACAATTCTTTATAATTACTTCAGTGTCATGTTTGTTGATCCTGGCTTTCTCCCTCTGGGGTGAGAACTTGTTTTTCACCTAATACATTAAAAGCCCTCAGAACCATGATAAACATTCAGTTTAGGAACTGTTGGTTTAAATCATAAAAGTTTTAAAATCATTGTAAAATTATAGCTTTAGGAATTATACTATGAATCAATTTATGGTTTCTTAAAAATCGTTAGATTAAGCTTACGAGTGTCCATAATTCCTTGTTGAGCAATAGCAGGATGTAGTTTGTTAGAAGTGCAGAATCTTGAGCTTTACTACAGATCTATTGAGTCAGAGTCCTCATTTGAACAGAATCTTTAGGTGATTGTTAGGTATATGAAAGTTGGACAGTGTAGTCTATGTGCAGTATACTATTTGAAATGAATACAGAAAAGGGTGAGACACAATTTATATTCTGGAAAAACAACCTAGGAGGTAAACCATTGCACTGTGCAAATGATTGAACTATAAAATACAGTGGAATGTGATGCCTGCTATTGAGGTTAAAAGAAGGAGCTTTCAGCTGGAGACCCATGGGAGGAGTGGGAGTTTGTACAGATAGAAGGAAGAAAGCATTGGATTCTGAGAGAACATTGGAAATGCATACTCTGAAACGGGACAGCTTTGTCTGACTGGAGAAGAGATTTTGTAGTGCAGATAAGTATGAAACAGTGACAGCTCACAGAAGTCTCAAATGCATGAGAACTTGTTAGAACAGAGGGAGTTTCTAGAGATTTTGAATCAGGGCACTGACAGAATGGTGTTACAGCAAGATTAAAGAGAGACTAGAGGAAAGGAAACTAGAAAGTATTAAAACTGCCCCCAAAGAAGAGAGGTGACAATGATGATATCAAGGAGAGCACAGATTTCAGAAAGACTATCAACTCCTGCTCAACTCCCCACTCTTAAGTTGTCAGCTGCCTTTTCTAAATTACTCCTATTCTAGTAAGACTGGGATAAGTGGGGCAAATAATAACAATGGACTGAGTTCCGCAGTATGGGGAAGAGAAATTGAAAATGACCTCTTAGTAATTGCAGAGCCATGCTGTGCTTTTAAACCACAGATTTGTAGTTTTAAAATATTGAAGCTTAAATAAAAGGCCTGAAAATAAAGTTTAATTTCTATTCTTCTTCCCCCATTTCCCATACAAGAAATCAATGAAAGGAGAGCATTTTCTCATCAAGCCTGACTTGTTATAACTTGCGATGAAGGTTCTAATGTATTTTTGTTTATATTTTGATGAAAGGAAAATTCTCAGGATATCATGTATCTCCAGTATTGTAAAGTTTGTCAAGCATACAAGGCACCACGTTCACATCACTGCAGAAAATGTAACAGGTATTTGTCTTTGTTTTTCACTTGGAGGTGATCAACTTAATTGCTGGCCTTTTCAATGTTTTTGTCCTTGTACTTTCTACTACAGCAGTAAAAACTAATTTTATTCTCTGAAAGGTGACACTTCATCAGAAATTTTGTTAAAATGCTTTGTGTCCATAATTTCTAATGTACACTTAAATTATCAATCTAGATAATAAATTTCACGTTTTTGATAAAAGTAAAAAGGGTTTTCTAGAAAAATAGACATACTCTGCCTCTTGCCTTGCAAAAATTGGATACAAAATGATACCTTTAGTTTGTTTCCATTTTCTCTTTCAAGATTGTATTGACTGCCATTTTACAAGTTTTAAAATTGTTCTAGGTCTGAATTATAAAGGAGACCAGTTTTTGTTTTTGTTTTTCACTTATGTAAGAAATGAATCCAGGTGCCTAATGTCACAAGTTTTTAATTACTGGAATCTTAACCTTAATAGAAAGAAACTGAGTCACTGAAAAACATGTGAAATAAGCCAGGACCTGTTATAATGAACAACTATGTCCACTGATGTATGAGAAATTTAGGAAACCACTGGACACAACTAAAGTTTGATTTTAAGCCAGAAAAATTTTCCTCCAGCAAAATTAAGAAACAGAAGCAGAAGAAATTTTTCTTACTCTGCCGTACGTTGTATGCTGGAATTGATTGGCTTAGCTAAGAGGTTCCACATTTGAAGTGTGCTAGAACAGTGAGAAAGGAAGTCTTTCTCAGGGCCCATGAACCCTGAGATTTATAAACAATTTTTTTGAGTCACTATTGTGCTCTGCCTTAGTTCCTGCATTTCTGAATTAAAGGAAAACCAGGAACCATGCTCATTTCTTTATATAACCTCTTGGTCTGCTTTCCAACTTCCTTTGTTTTGTTTGTTTTTGTCTCACTGTAGCTCAGGCTGGCCTTGAACTCTCAATCCTCCTGTCTGAGCCTCCAGAATGTTTGAATTACAGACTTGAGTCAGTATGCCTGGCTCTTCCTAGCTGCTGCTGCTGCTGCTTTTTTTTTTAAAGAGAAAAAAGAAAAAGCCAGAAAAATCAAGAAACAAACAGACCAAAACAACAACAAAAGCAAAGCATCAACAACAACAAAAAGCAATAGATGTTTAGGTTTTCAAAACAAAATGATAGAAATTTAACAATGATTGTTGTATTGCTTATTGTTATCTTCAAGATAGTTGCTCAGCCTACCAGTTACAAGACTAAAACAAAACAGTAGTCAAACCACACCTTCTCATGAGCCAGCCAGTGTGTGGCTAGTAGACAAGAAAAGCAACATCCTCCTACCCACCACCTCACTAAGCAACTGGCTGATTCGAAGGAACTCAGGCCAAGATGATAGCAACTGTAGTTTAAAAATAATTTAGTGCTT